CACTCATTTCCACACCCATGACCCCCACAGAAAGGCACAGGGACACCAAGGGCAGGAGGAGCCGGCCCTGGGCTAGAGACAGCAGGGCTGTGGGCTGTGGGTGTCCGAGGAAAGAAGGCCACGACCCCCCCCCAGTGATGAGTGCCAGGAGCTCTGGAGAGGATCAAGCCGGAGCACAGGCTGGGGATCCACATGCCCACCCTACACCCCTAATGAAAGGCACACGCTGTCCCAACACCAGGAAGAAGCTGTGAAAGAAAGCAAACATGGAGGAGAAGCTAGGAAACCCGCAAAGGCCCAAGGCCTCCTCACAGTCTGGCCCCAAGACCCAATGTGGGACCAAGAGCCACACCAGTAAGCCAGCTGAGGGGGCTTTCGGGGGGCTTTTGGAACTGACCTACCAAAGTGGACCCATTTGGGAAAATGGCCCAACAACTTGGGCTCTCTGGACAATCCAGTAGGAGCAAGGGCCTCATAGGGCAGAGGGGGAAGAGGGGAAGAGGCACCCTTTGCTGAGGACCTGCCAGGCGCCAGGCATCCTGCCAAGCACCTCTGCATACATTATCACAGCAGCCCCTCAGCAGCCCCGCCAGCCAGGCAGTGACGCAAAAACAGAGGTGAAGGCTGGGCGCGGTGGCTCACGCCTGTAATCCTAGCTCTCTGGGAGGCCGAGGCGGGCGGATTATTTGAGCTCAGGAGTTCGAAACCAGCCTGAGCAAGAGCGAGACCCCATCTCTACTAAAATTAGAAAGAAATTAATTGGACAACTAAAAATATATAGAAAAAATTAGCCGGGCATGGTGGTGCATGCCTGTAGTCCCAGCTACTCAGGAGGCTGAGGCAGGAGGATTGCTTGAGCCCAGGAGTTCGAGGTTGCTGTGAGCTAAGATGACGCCACGGCACTCTAGCCCAGGCAACACGGTGAGACAAAAAAAAAAAAAAAAACGGAGGTGAAGAGACACTCCTAGGTCACCTGGCGAGGGCAGACAGGAGAGCCCACATTTGTATCCCATCTTTGTGTCTTCTTGCACATGCCCCAGTATCCGGGCGCTGGGGCTAGGAGGCATTGCGCAGATGGCACAGATGGGCGAGGCGCACATCAGGAGAGCCGGCCCATGCACAGGAAGGAGGACAGGGTGCCCACCCAGCAGGGTCCCCCAGGCTCCAGGGAAAGGAAACTCCTTTGCAGCCAACAAGTGCAAAGCACGGAGGCTGCATACCTCTGCAGCCGCAGCCTCGACATTGGGCAGCTGCTGAGAATGGAACAAACTCTACGGAGATTCGAGGAGACTGGCTGATTTGGTATGCAGGACTGGTGACTCGTAAAGCAGGCAACCTCAGTGCCCACTGGAGTCGGCCAGTGTTCCCTGAGGCCACCTCAGCCTAATGTGCCAGAGATGTTTCGTTAGGAAGATCACAGACTGAAACAGGAGCACCAAAAATAATTAATCTGTGAGCAGGTTTTATTTAAGTGTTGATTCATGGTTGTTCCATAAGCCAACAGCCTGTCAGAACTACAAATTAACGAGATAAAATGTTGCTGGCCCTCCATATTTCAGGCCGGATATTGACATTTTAGAATCCACAGATTTCTAACTGTATTGATTGAGGACACCAGGATAAATGGCCTTGGCGCCAAATTCCCATTAACGACAATGGGCACTGAGTGACTAATCCCCAAGCGCTGTGGTGAGAACGCCCTGCATTGCCTTCTCCTGGCAGGAAGCTCTAATTAGATTGAAATGAAAAAGCCAAATCACCGAGGGTGGGAAGAGGCAGACCAAGTAAAAAGGGAGATCAGACTCAGTGAGGACAAAGGACAATATAAGTCAAAGCAGAACAACAGCCACAGGGGGCACACAAGCCTACCCCAATCTCAGCTAAAAAAGGCACCCAGAAAAACCCAGGCTGCCGGTGGGGTGTGCAGGAATGGCGTAGGAGACACAGGTGGGAGACAGGAGTGGAGCCCTCCCTGCCTACCGGAGGGCCAGCGAGGTCCAGTCTCCGCTCCGTCTCGTGCACACCTGCACTGCGCAGCTGCTCCCAGCCAGCCCTGGCCGGATGAGAGACACAAAGTCCACCAGCACGGGCCCCTTCCTCAAGGAGCTCCCACGCTAGCCAGGGAGGCTCCTCCTCAAGGAGCCAGAAACCAACCACCCAGAGCAGGAGAGGCCCTGAGGGCTTCCCCAAAGCTGAGGTTCAAACCCCTCGACTCTATGTCCCTGGGGATGAAGGATGCCCAACATACCCTCCCCTGCAGCCCGAGCACCTGGCCCTGCACACAGGAGGTGAGCAATAAGCGACTGCTGAGTGAATGAGACGGGGCCTGCAACAGATGACGTCAACGGTGAGCACCATTCCTAACAGAGGTGTGGAGTGGAGAAGTCCTCCATCACCTCCCCAGCTGGACAGCAATGCCGTTCTCTCTGTACCTAGCCAACACCCCACAGCTGGAGGGGTGTGTTGGGCCTGGGGCCAGACAAGCTGCCCTCCAGACACAGTTCTACCACCAACCGGGCAAAATATTCCATCTCCCTCCCCTCCACCTCTCCAGCCAGGGCTGCCTGTCACCCCAGACCAGCTGCAGCTAGCAGGGAGACCTGCCCAAAGCACAAACTAAGCCATGATTCCCGCTGCTCCAAACTCAGCCACAGCCTCCTACCGCCACCTGCTGTGGCAGTCCCTGACTTGTCAGGCAGTAGGACTCTCTTTGAATGTCTAAAAATTTCAGAACCTGCCCAACATGCACACACTCACACCCACCCACCCACACACACACACACACACACACACACACACACACACACAATGGCAAGTGTTTGTTTAACATCTGTTGATTAAGAAAATAGATAATGACAAAGGACCACTATGAACCCATTGTTACCAAATGGATTTGATTTGAGTAAGCCAACAGCTCACCCACGTCTGAAAAGCAGTGGCGCAGGCACGAGTGAGCGCGCTTGTCACTCTGTGGGAAGTGTGGTACCCACGTGACCCACAGGCTAAGGGCTCTCCCCCTGTACTGCTCAGACACATCTCTCCTGGGTCCCTGCACCCCACATTACACACTGCTTTGGTCTCCACACACACCACATGGCATCCTGTTCCTGTGACAACTGTCCTTATTGTTCCATCTGCTAAGAGCCCACTTGCCTCCCCCTCAACCACACCTCCTCCAGCCGAATTCTCTGTCCACCTAATTCCCAGCTCAGCTCAGGTTTTACTTCCTTGAGGAAGTCTTCCTTGATTTTCCAAGCTGAGTGTTCTCACAATTCCTGTATCTTGCTCCATCTCTGCAACCTGGGATGGTCTTTGCACTTCTGACTCTCTCAGCAGACGTGAGCTTCTCTGGGTGGGCGCTGGGTCTTGCTCAGCTGTCTCCCACACCAAACACATCTTAGGGGACACGCAAGCATCAGAGTGTAACAGTTGAGCGGCCGGTTTCAGAGTCTGGCAGACCTGGCTCTGTCACTTACTGCTTTGTGCCCATGGGCCAGTGCGTGTACAGGTGATACTGATGGTATCTGCCTCAAAGGGCAAGGTGGGCCCTCGACGAGACACCGTATGGAAGGCCCGCACAGTGGGCGCTCAGTTGTCGGTAACTGCTGCTGTCATCATCAGCCCAGTCATTACTGCCATCAAGTGGCACCAAACTCCCTGAGCCTTGGCAACCTCACAGGGGGTTGAGAACATCGGTAAGACCACAGACAGCAGGGAAATGCTTCATGAGGAGAAAACGTCATACGCTCAGCACCGTGGCAAGGGTGCAGGCTCTGCAGCTGCAGACATTCCTCCAAATCCCTGTTGGCCACACGCCACTGGGAGGCTGTCAGCAAGTTACTTCACCTCTCTGAACCTCAGTCTCCTCATCTGTAAAATGGACACAATTGCTGCCAGCAGCTGCAGTGAGGATTAGGCCTGTTCTGTGCAAAGCTTGTGGCATGGTCCCAGGCACCTGGCAGAGTCCCCGTGATCACCAGTCTTGTTGCCTCCTCTACTCAGCATCATGGGGCTCAAAGGAGCCTCGAGGCTGCCCCTCAGTGGCCCAGAAGGAGAGGAGGAAACTTGAGGTGGAAACAAACCACACAGTTACCCCAAACCACCCTGCGTTTCCTCTCTGCACTTCCTTGGAGCTGCTGGTGCTGGGCTGCAGGACCGTGGAGTCACCATCTCCTTCCTGCCAGACCCTGGGAGAGGCACACCCCAGAGCCACCACCACAGGGCCAGACATGCCACTGCTGGGCCTGGCGGGCAAGGGGCAGGCCTCAGGCACTGGTGTGACCTCCAGCAGAAACACGACCAGCCCGGGGGGGACAAGGCAAGGTAGTATTGAAAGACGCTGGACTGGGAGTCAGGTGGTGTGGGTTTGGATCCCAGCCCCGCCCCTCCCTGGCTGCTCTCCCTGAAAAACACTGAGGGGACCAGCCTGGGGCTGCTAGCAGTGCCTGTTATGTAGGCGCGCTCAGTCAGGGGGAGTTCCTTCCACTGGCTTCTCTCTACCTCTCGCCCTGCTTGGCAAGAGCCCCCCGGATTTACCCAGCATGAATCCATCTTACCCAAATGGGCTAAAGCAGAACTCGTTTGAAGACTTCCCTTATGAGCTGGAATCATTCCTTACAGCCTTTCAGCGATAATGAATTGACAGGAATTCTAAACTCATTCCAACCAAAGGACACAGTGATAAAGTTAAATCTATTTCAGTACAAATTGCATGTCAGAAGTTGATTAAAAAGCCACCTCTTTATCCAGCCCCACAGCGTGGGGCTGAGACAACCTTGGGGCTCTGTCGTCGGTGCTGGCTGACAGAGGTCCACCTCGAACCCTCTCTGGGGAGCAGAGCTTCCAACAGGCAAAGTCTGGAAACACCCTCGAGAGCATGAGCCTACCCTGAGGCCCCCTCCCTCTGCCCTGAAACTGCAGCTTTGGCTGCCAACCCACCAGAGAATCCCCAACGAGAGAGCTGCCAGCTCACCTGGGGATAGTGATACAGAGAAACGCACCTGTTTCAAGGTCTGTTAGGTGCAGCGCGAAGTCGAAGCCACCACTGAGGATGCGCCGGCCACAAGGAGACCACCGGGCAGCCCGCACTGCCTCGCTGTGCAGGGAGTAGGTCTGCAAGCAGCGCCCCGAGTCCACGGCATTCCAGACCTGTAAGACAGACACAGAGCACCAGAGGTCATGATGAGGCCTGATCTCCAGGGCTCAGCTGACCCCTCTGTGTGGGCAAAAGGGTCTCACAGTGGAATTATCTTCCCATTATTTTACCATCTAAATTATATCTACATGTTAAGCTTTTCACTGCAGAAATGTAAAGACTTGGGGTTGATGAGTTGGGGTTGGCATTTTCTAAAATTTCTTTTGGGGTTAAGAAAACAGCATTCCTGAGTCTCTCACTCATCTCCCCAGCCCTCACACCTGCTCCACACCTGCTGGCCACCAGGGAATCCTGCCCCTTGGCACTTGCAGTCCCATCCCAGTCTCCCCTGCATTGCTGGCATCTGTCCTGTGATGGACACTGCCAAGGCGAGGCTATATTCACAGGTTCCACTTTAAAACTGAGATTCAAAAAGGAACCTGCCACACCTGTATTTACAACTGGTCAAAGAGCAAACATCTGCCTTGAGGGCAGCTGTCCTTTTCTTCAGGAGAGAAGGTACTGTCCCCTATTCCCATTCTGGCTTTCCATGGTGGAACGAGTCTTGTGGGAGAAAGCCCTATGTATACTCCATGACTTTTGAAAAGTGATTTAAGAACCCAAGTACAGGCCGGGCACGGTGGCTCACGCCTGTAATCCTAGCTCTCTGGGAGGCCGAGGCAGG